ATGTGATAACAGAGGCAGAGATTGGAGTTATGATGCTCCAAAGCAAGGAAGGCCAAAGATTGCCGGCAACCACCGGAAGCAGGAAGAGGGAAGGAAGGGTTTTACCCTAGAGCCTTCTGAGGGAATGTGTCCCTGCTGAAACCTTGATTGTTGTCTTTCAGCTTCCACCACTGTGACACAATACATTTCTGCTGTTTTAAGTCACCCAGTTTGTGGTAAGTAGTCACAGCAGCCCTAGGGAACTAACACAATTGCTCAGCATCTATTGTGAACCAATTCCTCAAGTCTTCTCTCTCATTCAATACTCGCAGTGACACTGAGAGGGTCAACCCTGTCCCCGTGTTACAGAGAAGGCTCCTGTGAGCTGCTCAAAGCCACACAGGCCAGCAAGTGGAGGGACCAGATTGAATCCAAGTACACGACCCATAATCCACAATCAAGTCTTAATCAGTGTTCCCTGAGTATTTGCCTGTGTCCAGGCACTGCCCTAACTGGTTTGTGAGCATTCGAACAGTCAATCTGTTCCTAAGATAAGTGACAACGCAGAGCTGCTAGCCTGGCTGTCCACATTTCCATAGATTTGAAAAAGGGTCTCTCTCTCTTCCTTCTTCCCTCCATCACTCCTTTTCTCCTTCTTTTTTTCCTTCTTTTTTTCTCTTGTTTCTTCCTCCCTCCATCCCCAGCTTTGCCCTGGAGGAGGGAGAAACAGATCTCTTAGCATTACCCTCTCTTCTTTATCTGTCTGTGCCCAACTCTGAGGTCCTGCCTGGACAATGTTTCCTCACTGTCCTCTCCCAAGAGCAAGTCTACACCTGATCTGTGATACTGGGTGAAGATATTTTTGTCTATTTTGTTCACCAAGAACAATACTTGATACATGGTAAGCTCCCGATAAAAATTTTAGCAATGTAAAAAAATGGTGTACTTGGAAAATCTCTTTCCCCAGCCCAGGTCTTTGTTCTAACCCCAGCAGTTTCCTAACTATCCTCATGTTGTCTATAATAGCACCTCAATGCCCCACATTCCACTACATGGGAAACACATCAGGGCAAGGATTGTGTCTGTTCTAGTTTCCACAGCAGTTCAGAAAATTTTATTCATAAGATACATCGCAGAGAAACCTGTGAGTCAGGCTGATAGTCCAAAGGAGGCAAAGACAATCAAAGCGGAGATCCTAAATAAAGAATATCCTTTCTGACACACACACAAAACAACGAGAAAGAAATATAGAAGACTAATTAATTACCCAGAAAAACAAAATGGAACGACATAAAATCTTCCCTCTAATAGTATCAAAGTGAGACAGTAAACAAATGTCCAGACAATAAGGAAGGAACTATACAAAGATGGTCATCAAATGTAGTTGGCTCTGGGAAGCGGGACCTGGTGTTGACTACGTTATAGACTGCACTGCGGGCACCAAGAAAGCTCATGTGTGGGATGGTGCTTGACAGAGTAGATGTTCAATCAACAATCAAGGATGAGTGAAAGCCAACTGCTTTCTTCAAGATCTACATCTAAATATTTCGTTTAATAGGTATAAATTATACCTGGCAAGGTCTTAGAGAAAACATTTTAAAAATTTTTCTGTAATATAAGTCAGTAAATAAGGATTATGTGTACTTTCACTATTATAACAATTATTTTTTGAAACATATGGCCCCTCTCCCAAGAGTTCCTGTCACTCCATTTCTCAACCTCTGTAAATAAGTCCCAGTACTCTCCTGGAATCTTTCTCTCTTCACGTCTCCATTGGTCTCTTCAATCTTAGGCCCAATTGGCTTTCATACAGCCTAACTCTTCTTAGTTCCCGTAGGCAATTAGGGACATTCAGACATGCACAAGAGTCTCCAAGGATGAAGTTGGAAGCAGAGAGCACATAAGAGAACCCCAACCCCCTGAAGAGAGGGTTCCAGTTCCCAAGTCCTTTTCTCTTAGGCAAGGCAATTATTCTCACCACTCCAGGTTATATGGCTACCTTTAGGTTTGAGTC